GGGGGGGGTGGAGTCCTCTCCCCGTGGTCACACTCACCCGACGTGTGACCCGCTTGGAAGATGTGTGACCGGTGAAAGGCGCCGGGGTCAGCGCGGTACTAATGAATGAATCCTGGCAAAAATGTTTTTTCTGTTATCATCATCCTGTTCGAATTTCTCGTCGGCTTGGGCCGTTGTTAGTCCGCTGAAGACAATTTTTTATGTTTACGGATTTGTCTATGTGTGCGGGAGTGTGTGTAGACAGAGCTGCTTGTTTTGTCCGATTAGCGTTGTGCCCTCGGCTGTTTGATGCGCTCTAAGTGGGGGTCTCTCCTCGCCGGCAGCCAGCGCCAGATGGGTGTCACGGCTATCGATTAATTTCACCTGAGAGAGAGAGAGAGGGAGGGAGGGAGAACGAGTGAGAGAGGTAGAGACGGTGTGTGTTGATGGTTGAGGATTAATGCCACACCGTCTGCTGTGTATCAATCACGCCGGCCCTCCTGTTATGATCACCTTGCCCACAGGATTCCTCATGCGCGATGCTTCAGATGCCTTTGTGTCCACCCTAAGGTGGTTGTGATGCATCTGCAACTTTGATATGCTAACTGAAAGGAGGGTGATCTACTCTTTATCCCGAAAGGGTGGTGCGTTTATGTTTTGTTGCGTTTGCGTTCGAACGTGGGATTTGTTGTTGTGGTTCGTCTTTGGAAGCGACCACATAGCCAGGACAGGGGAGCTGGCTGTATTGATTGCCTTCGTGTCGCTTCATGGGGAGAACGAGAAACGGGTCAAGTTGTACGAAGGTGTTAGCACCGCGGCGCTAACTGCAGGAACGAGGCTGTGTGCGTTGTTTGTTGTGCCCCATCAGGCAGGGAATGAAAGACGCGAGGGAAGTCTCGAGGAGCTACCAAAGATTCGCCTGTCGGTGTCGTTTACCTTTGCGGTGGAAATACGGGTCCCCACGGTAGTACCCCCTTTCAAGTTTGCCAGAAAGGTCTAATCAGTCATTTGAGTCATTTCTGAGGCGTGTTCCGATATGCCGAAATTAAAGTCTCCTGAGCGTTTTAGTTTCCCATAGGTGCCATATAGCTGGTACTTGTCGTTTCTTGACCAATCGATTATTGAACATTTATGTCGAAACCAACTTATCCAGTTCTTATATCAACCCCAATTTTAACAGTTGCCTAGGCGCACGCGCATACAACACATCCGAGGCGGCCGTTGTTGCGTTTGACTCTGTTTACCTGGGCGGCCCGGCCTGGCCACACGCCCCGTGTATCAACACAGATTAGCACGCGCCCCTGAATGGCCGACTCCGGTGGCGACAGCGGGGGGCGGGGCCCTTTGTGCAACAAATAGAGTAATCCGACGAGTTTGGCGCGTCGATTTTTGCGACGGAGGAGGGAGGAGGTGTGGCGCGCGGGATTTTTCAAATAAAAAGGTTTTTCGCTGGGCGTCGCGATACAAAAGGAGGCCAGACAATGGGGAGGGGCGACTTCCATTGTGCAGATTCGACCGCGGAGGTGATCGGAGGGGGTAGGGGGATTGAGATGTGGAGTGGTGTGAGCAGAGGCCACTCCGGTGTGTGTGTCTGCCCCGTGTCGTTTAATATTGACATTAGAAAACAATTTATCTCAGTCGGTCTCCGGGGTGCTGCTGGGGTGGGCGGTCGCCTCGGCGGTCGCGCTGTGTGGGGTTGATGGCGGGGCACGATTGTGACGTCTTCCTCCCCGGCGGCGCGTGGCTCTCAGGTACAATGCATGCTAATGCGAGTCCTCGACCCCGCCCATCATTGCGTAGAGTTTTTTCCGATAGCTGAGAAATTATAAACTTTTTCTGAAAGGGGGGGGGGGGTTGTAAGGGAGGGCTGTGCTACAAATTTCGTCTACAGTTTAAAATTTTGCGTCACGTCATGAGTCATACGTACTTACATTACATCTACACGGTGCCTCATCGGCTTTGCTCTCTCGTTTCTTGAAATTGTCCCTCGCGGTGCCCTCCTAGCCGGGCCCCCCTGGCGTGACCACACCACTCCACGGCGGTGCCGGTGCGCGCGCGGCTCGCAACTCCCTCCCTCTCCGCTCCGGACGCGAACTGGATCGCCGACGATAGAGCCCGCATGGCTCGTCTGTATGTGTCTGTGTGTGAGTTTATGTGTGTGTGTGTGTGTTCGTGTGTGTTCACGCTCCAATGGCCGCCTCTGTGTGGGAATCCTTGATGCGTCGTGTCGTCCTGCAGGCCGCCGCGGTGCGCGACTGTGGTGTATAGATGGGGTCGTCCAGCTGATTAGCAAAAGAGTTTTTTTAGGAATTGGGGCACGGCCTCGCACGAAGTGCATATGTGAGGCGACAGGTTTTTGCCGCCGTTTTGTTTCGCAATGCCGTTGGCTGCGCGCGCCTCTGGACGGCGGTGGCGCCACCTCTGCGGGGGACTTCCCCTTTGCACGACCAAGTCCCCGTGTAATTGAG